TTTTATTCAAAGGAATGTTAAATGGAAACAAATACAAGTGGAGCTATTAGGATTCATTCATACTGCATGATAGGTTTCTGTATGATCATAGTTTTATCATATACTAATATTTCTCTGAATTCTTAGTAAAAAACATAATTTTAAATGCAGAATGCAAAATTATATGAGTATACTTAATAGAATAAAATTTTAGTACATTTGTGCATTGAATTGCCATGACTTGTGGGCTAATTTGACAGCCTCTAACAACAAGCAGTTAGGAAGATTAAGAACTCTTTTCAAAGAATTAATGCTCATAACTTAATGTTCAATATAGAAATGAAAGATACAAAAAATGCAGCAATGTATGTGTAATATACTTCATATATATAAAAAAATACATATACACACATGGAAGAAAACATCAGTATTTCCAGTGTGTTATGAGATTTTAGGTAATTTTGTTTCAATTCTTGGCTGCTAAGTAAAGTATTTTAAAAAATTCTTTTTTCATACTATCATTCCTATACATGGTGTTTTATATATGTTGATTCATCCTTTTTCACCCCATCTCATCAAGTCCCCCTTGCACCCTGTCTGTCCTTTCACACCTCCATCTGGCCACTAATCTCTCCTGTCTTAGTGATTTTCCTTGCTTCTTTCATCCCCTTTTCCCTCACCCCTCCTCTTTTGAATAGTCGTATATAGCCTCTTCCTATTTGACATTTGCACTAGCCAGATTGTCTTTTTATCCATTTTTCCCCAGCTTAATTCTCCCATGTCCTGGTCCTCTACAGTGTTAATTGTCTGTACATTCTATTTCTGCTCTCCCCATCCCTCCCAACATCCCTCATTTACCTTCCTATTTTCACAGTAGCCTTCTTATGCGGTATTTGTCCTTTTGTGACTGAGTTATTTCACTTAGCATAATGTCCCATGTTGTTTAGTATATTATGAATTCTTCATTGTTCTTTAATGCTGTATAGTATTGTGTTGTATGAATGACCAGTTTTTTAGTCCATTTATTTGTTGTGAGCATTTGGGTTGTTTCTGTTTTCTTGCTATTGTGGATAGCCCCGTGATGAAGATTGTACACATCTCTGTTTGTGCCTCAGCTCTTATTTCCTTGAGGCATATTCCTAGCAGTGGAATAAATGAGTTATATGGGATTTTTTTATATTTACCTTTTTTGAGAAAATGCAAAAGTACCTTCTTGTAAAATGATACAACCCAGCCACAGTGCATGAGAGTTCTGATCTCTCCACATCCTCACCAACACTGTTGGCTGTCCTAGTGAACTTGGGATGAGATGTTATTGTTATCTCATTGTTACCTTGCTTTGCATATCTGATTGCTAGTGATTTTCATCATATGTTTTTTGACAAATTAAGTTATTCACATGAATGTAACCTTAATTGGTTTCAAAACACTGCCTTGCAGTGTTATCCGTTAGATCTGAGTGATAAAGGAATGGGGAATTACTATAGGACACAGTTGTGCTAAGGGTTTAGAAACAAATAGCAACATGCTAAGTGTGATGGATGTCACTGAATTGTACAAGTAAAACAATTGAAATGGCAAATACTTTACTATAAGCGTTTTATCACAAAATAAAGCCCACTACTTCCTTAAGGAGAACTTTGATCTTAAGCTTTCAAATAGTTATAGCCATGAGATAGACATGATCACTGTAACCATAGTCCTTTAAAAGTAGGTCTTCACATTATTTTACCAAAGGCACATTGTTGGAAATATTTGGAAAAGTTACAGAAAAGTTTTTGGGTTATTTTATTATATTGGCCAACAAGTGTACATTTGATTATTAAACACATCAATCAGATTATTAAACACATCATTCAGCATCTCATTGTCCTTAAGTTGACATCTGAGAAAGTGGTCTGTATGTTTCCACGCTTTGTGTGTATTGAACTACTGTGACTTACTGAATAAACGATGTCAATGTTTGCTAAAACAAAAACAGTGAACTCATAAAACACTACACTATTTGGGGGAACCTGGATGACATTATGCTGAGTGAAATATCTCAGCGCAAAAGGACAAATACTGCATAAAACTGCTGTTAGAAAACAACTGACATGGGGGTTTGGAGGAAGAAAAGGAAAAGAATGGATAATGAACACTGAATTGAAACAGATGAGAGAAAGAACTTTAAAAGTAATGTATCTTAAAATGTATCCAAACTTTGTAAGTAAACCAGTATAAAATTTAAAATTTTTAAGTAAGAAAAAAAAATAATGTATGAAAATAATTTTTTTTAAAAAAACCACCAAAAAATTAGCATATCATTGGGCATTCTATGTATTACAGCAACCTGGAATAAAGGTACATTGCAAGGAGGGAAAAGAGGGGAAGGGAGGAAAATGTGCAACAGTGAATGAAAAATAAAAAACATTCCGACAGCCAACAACAAAAGTGGATCAGAAACCTAGGGGTAAAAAAAAAGCCAAAAAGATCATCAGAGAAGAAATAAGAACAAATTCAGAAGCCCTAGTCTGACCAGAAATGCACAATCAAGAGAGGCTAAAATCAACAAATGTAACGTTCTTTTTAAAAAAAAAAAATTTAATTCATTTTAATGAAAGTTTACAGAGATTTAGGGTTTCTATTCATTCATTGTTGTACATTTCTCCCTGTCCAAACACTCACCCCAATTTGCTCTTCTCTTTGAAAAGTAAAAGAAAAATTCTTTTACTTTATACAATCCCTCTCCCCAAGTCCGCTCCACTATGCAGCCTTCATTCTGGCCTCCTGTCATGACAATAATACCTAATCATATATACCTTTTAAACAGTTGTGTCCCTCATCTGTTTCAATGCAGTATGCATTATTTATCCCCTCTTTCTCAGTCTTCCCTCAACCCTGAAGTCAGTCCCATTTTACAGCAGTGGCCCTATGCAATATTTGCCTTTTTTTTTTTTTAAACAAAAAGAGCTTTATTTATGAGGAAGTTCAGACAGGGTGAGGTGTGCACGTCACCAAGGCCACCAGGACAAAGAACTAATCCAGGCTCATGTCCTCCTCCTCGTCCTTCTTGTCCTTGACCTCGCCTTCTTTGGGCCCTGGCTTGGCGCTGTTCTGCATGGCTTTGGCAAACGCTTCCACATCGCCCTTGTTGGCAGCCTCCACCGCTTCTGCAGGCAGGCCGAACTGGCACATGAGGGGGCCCAGCTGCCCTGAAGCCAAGGCCGCGCTGAACATGCCCAGGGCCTGCTGGAACTGGGGAGAGGTCAGCGTGTTCTGGATCTCCTCTCCGGTCTGTGGCAGCGACTCCCCCAACGGCAGGTAGGGCAGCAGGCGCTCCTGAACGTCGGCGTTGGCCAGGATGGGCGCCATGATCTCCGGCGTAAGCACGCTGGCCAGGTCGACTTGCTGGCCGCCACCTGCCCCGGCCGGCACGTTCATAGTGGCTAAAATGGTTTGCAGATCACTCAGCTGGATGGGCTGGGTTGGGCTTGCTGCCGTGCTGGTCCCATTACCTGAACTGGGCGCGGGGCTTGGGCTGGTCGCTGAGGCAGCTGCTGGCGCAGAAGGGGCTGGGGTGGCGTGGGCAGAAGAGGCGTTGGAGGAGGGGGTGACGGCGGCCGACTGGTTCCGAGAACTGGATGAAGAGCTGCTGGCCGGTGGACCTCCACTCCCCAGCAAGCTGGCCAGGCCCGGCCCAGTCAGGGCCCCAAGTCCACCGAGGCCTCCCAGGCCGGCAGGTCCGATCAGCTGGCTGTGACTCATGTTCCCCATTAGGCTCTGTAGACCGCCCTCACCTCCAAGTGCGGAGAGTTCGTGGCTGCCGCTTCCGCTGGCTCCCAGCGCCCCGGGCATCAGGGGGTTGTTCAGGTACTCGTTAACCTTCCGGCAGTGTTCCTCGTCCTGGTCCGTCTTGGGCTTCTGCATCCAGAAGAAGAGGCGCTTAGATCCTGCCTTGAACTTGAGCATGTAGACCCTCCCACTGGGGCACCCTCTTAAATTCACAGTCATTGGGGAAGATAATCAAGTCGTCCTCCACGCTGCTCGACGTCTGGTCCTTCCAGCAGAAGTGGATGAGCGAGTCGTCGGTCTGCTGAATGTACACCAGCCCCTTCCGTTTGTCCGGGGTGGCGGTGGTGCCTTTCAGCGACATTTTTCCGGCTCGGAACTCCACCAGGTACTTGTTGGAGGAGCCCCGGGATCCCGGCACCAGGCTTGGAAACAGAGCACCCGAAGTGGTCATCCTGGATGTGCACAGCAGCGAAGAGGTGCAGTCTGAGCGCTCTTCTTCCTCGGCTGCGGCCGGGCCCCCAATATTTGCCCTTTTGTGACTGAGATATTTCATCAGCATAATGTCCTCCAGGGTCACCCATTTTCTATAATATTTCATGAGTTCCTTGCTTTTCAGTACAGCATAGTATTCCATTGTGTGACTATACCATTCGTTTGTTGATGGGCACTTGGGTTGTTTCCAACTCTTTGCTATTGTAAACAAAATCACAATAAACATGGGTGTGCATATAAATGGAACCTTCTTAAAATCAAATCACTTTGTGCATCAAAAAGCTTTTCCAATAGGGTAAAAAGAAAGTCCATAGACAGGGGGGAAAAATTGATAACATTTTAGACGAGGAGCTTATAACTAAAATTTCCAGAATACTTGAGTTCCTCCCCAAGAAAAAGACTAATAACCCAATCACAATATGAGCAAAAGATATAAAAAGACTCTTCACAAAGGAGAATATTTAATTTTTTTTATTGTCTGTGTCTTTTGCTTTCTCTCTATTGGACATACATGAGTTATTAAGATAGGAAAAATGAAAAATATAAAAAGAAAGAAAAGTTTATTTTCTTTGAAAATCACTTGAAAAGTGATTTCCAGAGGTCCTGAGAGTCATGTCAGGACTGTGTTTCCCACTACCCCGTGTTTCCACATGAATTAAACTTGTGTTAACTACTTTCCCTCCTCCTGGTACCAGATGACCTTGACCTCTAACCTGCACAGGACCTGCTCAGTCTGTCCTGCTGTGTCCTTGCAGATCGGCTTCACCACAGACCCCCGAATGGCCCGGTCTTCTCCTTACCCAACAGATGTGGCCCGTGTGGTGAATGCCCCCATCTTCCACGTAAACTCGGATGACCCTGAAGCAGTGATGTATGTGTGCAATGTGGCAGCTGAGTGGAGGAGCACCTTCCACAAGGACGTTGTCGTTGACTTGGTGAGCGCCCTTTACTTCTTCCAGGAACAAATCCTGCCAGGCACAGCGGAAGAGGGCTTACAGATCTTAGCTCGATAACTCCACTGAGTTTGTCCAGTCCAGTGCCTTAATATGGTCTTCTTTATTCTAACTCACAGGTCTCTTGTAACTCCTCTGTAGTCAAGTGTAGAAGCAGGCATGAACCATGAAATGTTTTGAGCGGCACATCACCAGAGCTGTGATAGTAGGGGCCTCTACAGTGTAAACAGAGAACTTGTATTCTTAAATCACTTTCTTATTTTACCTCATTTTATCATCTACACAGCTCTGGTATGGGGGAGAGGCAATAGCCCCTTTTAGAGACAGTGAACAGAAGACATGCACACACAGACTTGCTGGCTTTGGCATCAGAAGAGTGGACAGTCCCACACACTCCAACGCCCTGGCCTGGTAGCCTCCTACTCTGACACCCCATGTCTTTGCTTTTTTGACACTGAGTTTCACTGACGTGACCAGGTGTGTTACCGGCGCAATGGCCACAATGAGATGGACGAGCCCATGTTCACACAGCCACTCATGTACAAGCAGATCCGCAAGCAGAAGCCCGTGCTACAGAAGTATGCTGAGCTGCTCGTGTCCCAGGGAGTGGTGAACCAACCAGAGTATGAGGTGCGAGCCCACTCGTCCCAATGCACAGACCTCTCCAGAGCTTACAGGGCTTGGATGAGGGAGGCTACAGAGCAGTTTTTGCTTTGCATAGTTATTAGAATGTTGGCAAAGATGTGCAAAAGTATTTGCATCTGCAAAATTTTAGCTGTGATGCTCTGGGAAGTTTGATGACTTATAGGACTCAACAGAGCTGTCAAAGTGGAGTAGGTGGGTTGGAGAGGAGGTAGGACAGTCAGGTGAAAGGTCCTGCTTGGTTAAAACCATACCGTCTCAGTGACTGCCTTGAAATGCCCTTTGCATGGTATTGGTATCCAGCATAGAGAATAGGGGTATGGGGGTGCCTGCTTATGAGGCAGCTGAGTTCAGAGGTGACAGAGGTCAGTCCTGGAGCTGTGCTGAAATTGTGAACTGGGTCCATTTTTAAGAGACTCTTGGTTCTAGCCAGCAAATGTGGAGAAGAAACTAGTGGGCATGAAAAGGCTAGATAGTCTGGGCTCTGGCATATGTCATGTGTAAAAACTGGTGGGGGGGGCAGGACGGGGACTGAGCAGAAGCTTATCGAGTCCACGTGCTCTGTGCAAAGCTGAGTGAGGTGTGGGTGAGGCTCAAGGCCAAGTTTCAGAGCCCTGTAAATACTGGTGTGTTATGGTTTTCCAGGAGGAGATCTCCAAGTATGACAAGATTTGTGAAGAGGCATTTGCCAGGTCCAAAGATGAGAAAATTTTGCACATCAAGCACTGGCTAGACTCACCTTGGCCTGGTGAGTCAGCAGCAGGACACAGGAGGAATTCCTGACCGCTGTCATGGGACTTAGCCTCCATTGTGAGTCAGATCTAAACCCTGAATACTTGCCCAGAAGACAGCTGTCGCAGTGCCAGTCCCGGGTCAGCAGAGGTGACCCTCAGTCCTGGGTGGTGTGTCCCAGTCTAGTCCACATGGCTGCAGTACCTAAGTTTACCCCTCTCTCCCAGGTTTCTTCACACTGGACGGACAGCCGAGGAGCATGTCTTGCCCCTCCACAGGCTTAACAGAAGACATTCTGATGCACATTGGCAGTGTGGCCAGCTCTGTGCCCGTGGAGAACTTCACCATCCATGGAGGTAATGTGAGCTGTCTGCATTGGGGAGCAGAGCACGGGAACCTTGGGAGCTCACTCATCTGCTGCACCTGGTCCTGAATAAAGAGATAAACTGCCACATCTTTTTATTTCACCAATAGTCTGCAATTAGATTCCATAAGCCAGGAGTTCCCAGATAGAGTGAGGAATGTGTCTGCTGTTGTCATGAGTTTTTTAGCTAGTGTGAGCAACTGCTGTTCCTGGGCCTTGGCTGTGTGATAAGCACCATTTTTTGCAGGACTCAGCCGGATCCTGAAAACCCGGGGTGAGCTAGTAAAGAACAGGACTGTGGACTGGGCCCTGGCCGAGTACATGGCCTTTGGCTCCCTTCTGAAGGAGGGGATCCACATCCGCCTGAGTGGCCAAGATGTTGAGCGAGGTACTTTCAGGTGAGGCTCTTCAGAGTTCAGGCATAGCAATTGGTATTCTGGAGGTGGGTGCCAGAAGATCATTTCCCTGATCATGATTTTTTACTTTTGTCAAAGGCTTGAAAGAGCTGTTTCCCTGGCTGGTGTGATTGTATTCCTAGGCAATCTGAGGGCTGTGTCCCACAAGGGTTGTTTGCACACAAACCTATCACCTAGAAAATAGATTTCACTTCCCACATAGTAACATTGCTCTTCCATCAGCCACCGACACCATGTGCTGCATGACCAGAACGTGGACAAGAGGACCTGTATCCCCATGAACCACCTGTGGCCCAACCAGGCACCCTACACCGTGTGTAATAGCTCTCTGTCTGAGTACGGCGTCCTGGGTGAGTGCACATGAGCGCAATGGCATGGCCCCTGGCCCTGCTGCATGCCAACATGTGGCTGGGCCTCTCTTCTCTGGTTCTTTGCAGGCTTTGAGCTGGGGTTCGCAATGGCCAGCCCCAATGCCCTAGTCCTCTGGGAGGCCCAGTTTGGTGACTTTCACAACACAGCCCAGTGCATCATCGACCAGTTCATCTGCCCAGGACAAGCCAAGTGGGTGCGGCAGAATGGCATCGTGCTGCTGCTGCCCCACGGCATGGAGGGCATGGTTAGTACCCCTCCTCCCTCATGTCTGTACCTAAGGTGGGACCCAGGCTGCTCCTTGAGGCACCCCGTGTCTATCTGTTCCTGGGAACTTGGATGGGTTTGTCACCTGGATGAAGATCTTGTGCCCATCCTCTGTTCCATCCCTGTCCATTGCCGTGATCGTAAACATGTGGTACCAGCTTGTCTGGCTGCCCTCATATGTAGGAGTCCCTTTTGTCACTCTGGGAAGCAGACCCACCCACAGCTCTTTATCACTCATCCTGGCATCCGAAGTGTACCCTGTGTAATCAAGTCAGTTAGAAGACTCCCATTTGGACCTGAGAGAAATGGAGCAGAGTCCTGCACCCCTCCCTCGAAAGAAAAACGTCTCCTTATGCTCAGTGACTGGGAAGGGAAGACATGAATTCAGCTGTCACAAACCCACAATCAGCATGTTATTAAGGAAAAGAAATAGTGAATAACGCTCTTAACATCATAAAAGGACCCAAATGCAACTGTATCTGGTTCCAGGGTCCAGAACATTCCTCGGCCAGACCAGAGAGGTTCCTGCAGATGTGCAATGATGACCCAGATGTCTTGCCAGTGAGTACCGCAGTCTAAGGATGCCGTTCTCGTCCTTCCTGGCTCCCAGACACAGCTCTGCCATCAGCAGGGCAGATGAGCCCCAGTCTGGCTGCATGGCCTTGGCCACATGCTGGTTTGGCTCACTAGGTGGGATATCCCACCAGGCACAGAACACAGAAAGATGCAGGATTTTGCTGGAGGTTCTTGCTGCTGTAGAAAGACTTGACTGTGACAGCTATGGACTGAGTAATTCTGCTTGTCTTCTGAGTCAGGCTTGATTACCTTAGAGAAAATGAACAGGGAGAGATTTTAGTGAAACTTTAGGGACTCAAGGAGAATTACTGAAAAATCTTATTTTATAGACCCTCAAGGATTGACACAGTGACTTCACCATTGGGGCTGAGCATGGTAGAGTTTGTGAAGATGGAGGGTGAGGTAGATCTTTTGTTCACAGGGGTCCTGTGAGTCATGGTTAGCTTGACAGCACCTAATGTTTTCATGGAACATTAGAGTTCATTCTAGAACCTATACATCTATTCTATATCAAGAGGAGCTTTCAGAGAAATAAGAAGGATTAAGTGAATGCAGACTTATATCAGAACATGTGAGAGCCATCTGCCTGAGCTCTTCTGTGTTCTGGCTGTCCTCTTGTGTTGTGTTTGTCTCCCACAGAAGTATGACTCCCTTGAGGTGGAGCTAGATGGTCTCCTTCTATTGTCCCTGTGCCACTTCTAATCCCAGATCCTTTTCACAGGGAATGTGCTCAGGCTTGCCTGGTCCCTGACCCTCTTCTTCTTGCCACAGAACTTGGAGGAAGCAAACTTCGACATAAACCAGCTATATGACTGCAACTGGGTCGTTGTCAACTGCTCTACCCCTGGAAACTTCTTTCATGTGCTGCGGCGCCAGATCCTTTTGCCCTTCCGGAAGCCGGTCAGTGAAATTTTCTTAGGAAGGGCGTAAGGGATGAGCCAGAGACCTGTGTAGGAGCAGGGCAGGGCATCAGAGCTAAGCTGGCTTCAGATCCAATTAGGGTGGCACCCTGGGAGGATAAACAGGGTCATGAGACAGGGACTGTGGCCTCTTTTCATTGCTGCACAGCTATCTAGATCCTTGGGAACAATCTTTCACATCCTCTCCCCAAACTAGTTGACCCTCAACCCTGTTTGCATGGGTCCTTAGATTTTTTTGAGCCCCACTATACACCAGGTACCAAGTCAGAGATCAGAGAGGATCACACAGGCTGAGTCTTTGAGGTGGTCCTAGGTTAAGTGATGGGTCAGATTTGTGAGAGGGTGAGAGCATGTGTCCTGTGCTGCCCTCTTCGAGACACAGGTACCCTGCCTGTCCTCAAGTTGGAATCTTGGGGGCTGGAGGATCCGTGAGAAGTGGATCAGGGGATAGAGCTGGGCTTGCTTCCTTGAGGGGACAGGTGACTTCTGTATGGTGCACATTCCCCACTGCCAGCAGGAGCTGCAAAGGAGCAGTCCTGGGCCTGCTCACAGCCATGGCCCACATGACTGAGAGGCCCAGATACAATGATGCTGGAACCAGGGGTCAAGAAAGCTTGGGGTCTGTCCTGAGTACAGATGGAGGGAAGCCGTGTGTGCCAAGGGTTGAGGGCAGCTATGCAGGAGTGAAATAAAAGGGCACTCACTGTTGTAAAATGGGACTGATATCAGGGTTGGGGTAGGACTGAAAAAAACTCGATAAATTGTGTATACTGCACTGAAACAGACGAGGGAGTGAATAATTTAAAAGTGATGTATGATAGGGTCTTATGGTTATCACAACAGTCCACAATTAAGGTTGCATAGTGGAATGTACTTGGGGCGGTGGGAGGGGTGCGGGGGGATTTTGTACCAGGGAAGGAGTGTTTATTTTATGTTTGAAAGAGAGGAGCGAA